GGACGGCCAGCCCCAGAGACCCATGGCCCCGCCGCAGGCTGTTTCTCACCCCACCTGGCGGGCACAGGGGACGATGGCCAGGGCTGCCCGCCAGGCTCGAGAGTTGGGGTGCGTCTGTATACAGCGTTTTATTGCCGCTCATCGTACTTTTAGGGCTCATCTGTAGGATTTAGTGTAAGCTTGAGAACTAAGACTTCACTGAGTGGGCTGAAGTAGTAGTTACTTGGCTCAAGATTATACGGTGATAATATTCCAAATTGAGGCAGTAAAATACGTTCTCTAGGCTCATTTTTTATTGTTGGTTTCCTGGCCAGGATATCTTAGGGCTCAAGAGCTGCCTTCACCGTGAGAACCTTCAGTGGCTTTTTGCTTTCAGATGCAACACTGGTTGTCCTGCACCATTGTGTCCTTACTTGGGGTGATTTTCCACCTACCTCCTAACAAGGTGGAAGGAAGCCCCCGTAAGTGAAAATGGGGTCCTCAGCGATTGATACTTGGCCCATCAGATACTGATGTGTGCTGGGGTGACTGTAATAGGGGTACAGTATGCAAAGGCCAGGCTCACACCCATGGGAGGGAGGAACCCAGGGTGGAGCTTGGCCTTGGGAGGAACTGAAGTAGGACCTGCTGGGCATTTTGGAGGGGACAGCACTGGAACACATGTGGTGCACAGACCAGGCTGTTCCTGGGCCAGGAGAAATTGACCCAGATACTGGCACAGGGCCTCTTCTGTGTTGTGTGTTTTGCGTTTCTGGCGTAGGACTGATGGATCACAGAAGCAACAAGTGAGCTCTTGAATGAAACACAGAGGTTTTTTTTTTGTTTTGTTTTGTTTTTTTAATACAATTTCTGGCCTGGTACTCATGGTGTCTGTCTAGAGTAGTTTTATCTTGCTTCTTTGTTTACTTTGTGATTGAATATAAAGCAGTTACAGTCAACAGATATGCGTTTCTGGCGTAGGACTGATGGATCACAGAAGCAACAAGTGAGCTCTTGAATGAAACACAGAGGTTTTTTTTTTGTTTTGTTTTGTTTTTTTAATACAATTTCTGGCCTGGTACTCATGGTGTCTGTCTAGAGTAGTTTTATCTTGCTTCTTTGTTTACTTTGTGATTGAATATAAAGCAGTTACAGTCAACAGATATCGGATCAACTCTTCTAGGAGCCAGACAAGCCCCCCCGCCCCCAGCTAGTATTCCACAGAAGGAAATTGAGATGAAAAAACCAGGAAAGTATCAGAAAATAATTGTTACACAGAATAAAAAACAGGGTGATATGATGTAAGACTTGGTGTCAATTTGGACTACAATGGAGGGCTTCGCTGAGGAGGTGTCCTTTACAGTGAGCAGAGGGAAGAAATTTAGAGATAGAACAGCTGGTGAGAAGGCTGCCCTAATCCAGAACAAGTCTGATGTGTCTAAGGGGCCATATACACATGCACACAAATGCATGAGGTGAGCACAGAGTGGGTCAAACTATACCCACCAATAAGATTATAAGTACAGCAGCTTAGCTAGTATTGATCGAGTAGGAAGCCAGTCATGTTGGGAGAGCACATGAAAAACAAAGGCATTTTGAGAAGGGGTAGATCTGGAGGTTCTGCTGTTGCTTATATGGACTTCCTGGACCAGGGGATACCAGGTATAGTATAATTTCAAGTTACTGTTTATCCCTTAGGGAGGCATGTAGGCCTGGTTGTTGCTTCTTTAAATTTGGGACCTGGTTTTCAGATGTACCTCCAGCCACAATTCTGATGTATATTTTTTGTTGTTGACTTCCATGCAGGCCTGCTCCCTCTCTGACTATATATTGGTTCCTATCTAATTTAGCTGCTGTAATATTGGTGCTGCACTCTGCAGGCTCACTACAGGCTACCATTTGCTCTTAGAAGAACTCTGAGGAAGGCCTGGTAGTGCATTTGTCCCATTTCCTAGGTCTGAATCCCTTTGTTACATAGCTGTTGTTACAGAGTGAGCTTGGCTCAGATGGGTAGAAATTGCAGAGCTGGTATCTAAAGCAGGTAGTTGGACTCCAGAGTTCGCTTTCTTAATCATGCTACAATGCCTCTTGTGTTACTGGTGCTGAGTTCAGCTCAAATGTGAAGCTGTGTCTCAATGTGGATGTCAGGGAAGTGGAATGCGACTAGTGAGTTTTTTGGAGGTTTCCCACACATCAGTCTGGAGAGTGTTAACAGCTCAGTGGGACACTGACTACTGATACTTGAGTGGGACAGCCAAGTATTTTCTTTTTGATGCTGCTTTTGTTAAAGCAAAAGTGTTTCAGTGGCAGAGTAAAGAAAGTTTACAAGCACTGTGCAATGATGAACATGACTGAAGTAGCTTCCTGCTGACCATGCTTGCCCTAAATAAGGTGGCCCTTCTTGGCAGTGCATTCTAGTGTGGCCCGTATTTGAATGTGGAATTCCCCCAGTTGGGTGCAGAAGGTCCTCCTGACTGGGGCGGAGGACCTGGGGCCCTTGCCACTACACTCCGGTTAGTTGTGTGTCTGGGCACTGTGCTGGGGACCTGGGGAATATCAGTGAAGGCTTGTGTTGTGGCCTGGGGAGCTGGTGAGATGGTGCCCTTTAAGCTGTGACTCAAAGCTAATCCAGTAGAGACTCAAGGCAATGTCCAGCAGCCTGCTGACTTTCCCTCGGGGGTACGGGGGTTCCCATGCTCCCTCGAGGCATGCTTGAGGGTGCTGGACTTGGCAGGTGTGGCTGCTGGTTCCTGCCTGCTGTTGGTAGGCTGACTGCTGTAATGGCTCTCCAGCCTCTAGCATCTGTAAGCGGGCAGGGTGAGGCCAGCCTCCAGGCTGCTGTGGGCTGAGGTCTGGGCGGTGTGTCTGCTGCTTAAGAGAGCCTCGTGTTGTGGGTGGGAGGCAGCCTGGCTCTGGCCTCACCATATAGAACAGTGGACTCTGGAGCCGCTCTCTTCTCTCCACCACCTGTCCTGGCAGCAGAGGGGGTTTGGACATGCCCTTGGCATCCCTTACTCCTGGCTTAGGGGCCCAAGTAGGACTGGCAGCGGAGGTCCCTGTCATTCAGCAGTGTTTTCTGAAGAAGGATGGGGCCTGAGTTTGTGCGTGGTGAGGAGCTGGTGTCAGGCTGGGCCCTGCTTGGCACCTGTCTCACGCCTCAGTCTCAGAACTGCTCCCTTGTGAAGCGGGGATTATGATACTCCTCCTCTTGCCACCCGGAACCAAGTGGGGCAGTGCATGACCTTTGGCACCTGGGTCCTCACAGGTGAATTCCGCCTGGGGTCAGAGTTGCGTGTTGAAATAGGAGCAGACAGGGTTACCTCCAGTGCCAAGATAAGAAAGTGGGACATGGCCGATGGACACCCAGACATCTTCCTGTCCTGAAGGACTGACCAGGACAGGGCATGGGGATGATGGTGGCTGGCAGTGCAGAAGAGGCACCTGGAGGGAGGGTATCAGTGCCACACCTGCTGCTGTGAGGTGGCTAGTGCTGCCCTGCATGGACAACCACAGTGCTTGAAGTGGAAGCAAAAGTCCACCCACTGGTGCCCAGTGCCACCTTGCTCCTTCCTTCCCCTCCACCGAAGCCTGTTGCCTGTGTGGTTAATTCATGGTAAAAACACAGATGGTTTTAGTAAAATACCGAGCATTGCAGAAACTGGCTTGACAGATTGGTTGATAAAGGGGGAAATGTTCATGTCCTGAATGCTTTCTATTTAATTTGAAGGCATCTTGTGTTTCTCTCAGTTGCAGAATGTCTGAAGGGGACAGCGTTGGAGATTCTGTCCATGGGAAGCCATCAGTGGTGTACAGATTTTTCACACGCCTGGGACAGGTCAGTGGGTTTGTAAATGATTAGTGTAAATATTTAGAGAAGCAATTGTTAGCTCTCCGCAAACCTTCCTGATGGTGTGGGTCTACTGCATTGCCACAAGAGGCTTGACCCACCCTGACATCATAAGTGCTCCATGAGCTTGTTCCTGGGAATCCTGTATTGAGTTCTCTCAGCAGAGGCCATGCAGAGAAGAGTTTTGCTCTGGGGCCACACGTGTTTCTGGCCACGTGGGTTTTTAACCTTTAAAAGTGTAAAACTGCTCCTTGGTGGTAGTGCAAACAGGCAGCTGTGCTCCCTCCTGTCCTGTCCCCAGTCCGCCCTCCAGGGCCTCATGGGCTCCTGCTGTACACGGTGAGACCACTCTGAGGGAGAGGCTGTAGCAGTGGCCAGGGAGCTGTCCGGAGATGGACACTGCATGCTTAGACTTACTCAGCGAACAGTGCAGGCACCAGTTAAAAGTTTACTGACTGATTAATATTTCTGTTTTGCTTTTTGTGGTACTGGGGATTGAGCTCAGAACCTTCACACGGAATGACACCCTCAGCCCTTATTTTTTATTTTGAAACAGGGTCTCACCAATTGGCCCACGTGGTATTAAGTTTGCAATCCTTCTGCCTCAGCCTCCCGAGTGCTGCGATTATAAGGCATGTGCCACCTGGAATTGTTTTGTTTGTTTGTTTTAAACAAGGTCTTTCTTTCTTTTTTCTTTTTTGGTTCTGGGGATCAAACTCAGGCACCATGTGCTTGCCAGGCTAAATCCCCAGCCCAAAGACAGGGTCTTTCTGTATAGCCCAGGCTGGCCTTGAACTAGTAGTGATCCTCCTGCCTCATCTTCCTGTGTGCTGGGATTACAGGCGAAAACTTACTAGTTTTTTAAATTGAAAAGTAGCATGTGGCAAATTGCAACAGTGTTGAAGCTGAGTACTGAGGATATTTATGCTCATATATTTTATGACTGAAAATTTTAATTGTGAAATTTAAAGATTAAGGTTCACAATTAAAATTTAAAACTTGCAGATGTATAGGTATAAATGTGTACTTATTAAAAATACTAAGGACTCCCTCAGTGAGTCTGTGGTACACACCATGAGCAGACCCTGGCTGCTGGATCCTCTGTGCATGGGACAGGACCCATACTGGGCTTGAAGGGAGTGATGGTTGGGGGGTGCTGGGGACACAGGATTGGCTGGAGACACATCATTGCCATGGTGATTTGGAGACTCATGGCCTCTCCTTCTTAATCCTCTGTGGGCGAAGTTGGTCTCCTCCAACATGGTCCCTGAGACCAGTGGTGGCAAACCTATGGCACATGGGGCCACAGCAGGCTGTGTGCATCACTGAAAGCTCTAGAAGGTTCGCTGCCAGTACTTTCACTAATGCTGGATTTCTGTCTTCTCTGATTGATAGTTCGTAGCACTTGCTGAAGAGATGACCCTGCAAGTACATTATGGATTAGTTGTAGTCATTGCTTTTGCCAGTACATGCAATCTGCTATTTTGATTAGCTCTTTTTAAAATAAAAAACTATAGGGAAAGTGTAGTTTGTGTCAAAGCCATGCAGTGGGAGTTTCTGGCCAACTTCACATTTCCCAACTCTGTCTCTAGATTTATCAGTCTTGGCTGGACAAGTCCACACCTTATACGGCTGTGCGGTGGGTCGTGACGCTGGGCCTGAGCTTCATCTACATGATTAGAGTTTACCTGTTGCAGGTGGGTCTGGGCTGAAACGAGGCTCCATGCCTCTGAACTTCTGAGTGGGTGCTGGTTGGGATGCTGCTGGTGCAATTTATTTTGAAGGACATGATGTATAATAAATACTTTTCAGTGCTCGCTTCAGCAGCACATACAATAATAAACACTTTTCAGTTCACCAAATGCAAGAAAAATTTCTGTGAGTTTCTCTTTAAAGAGGCTCCTTTATGGTTTTTCCTAAGATTGTCACCTTCTCTAACAAGGGTTCCAGCGAGCCCAGGCCAGTCCTGACCCATCACAGGCCTGTAGTCCTGTGAGCCTGCTGTGTGCCTCCTAGGGCAGCAACTCCATCCCAGATACATGAGTCAGCACTGTGGTGCATGACTCTGGAGTTTATGGGCTCAGCCACGTGAGCTGCATCTCTGGTGAGGCAGAGGAGCGTGTGCAGTGCCAGCACAGTCACTGGGCACTTCTGGGGTCTCTGGGGCCGCTGTGATAGCACTAGGATGGGTGACATCTGCTCAGGCTGTTCCTTGGGACGTTTCCTGGGGAGCACTTGGGGTCTGGGGTGGGGGGCAGGTGAGAAACCTTTTCTGGAGTATTTGTCCCTGGGGGCACGGAAGGTATGTTCTCATTTAAAGCTCCTGCTGCCTTCCTGCTGTTTTCCAAGCTGTAGGAGGACAGTGGGCCATGGAGCGACAGGTGAATTGACTGGACACTTGAGCCAGTGTATGTGGAACTCAGACTAGACACAGAAGTTTGTGTTCCGTGTCTGCATCCGGTTTATTTTTGCTCACAGACCCAGCACTGGTTCAGCATGGCAGTTTACTGCAGCAGGGACACAGTCTGTACAAGGTGTCTGAGATTAATGTTGATTTCGTTTTGTAAATTGGAACTTGGTCCATTTGCTAATGGGAAGACTGGCGGAGCAACTTGAGTCGGGTGTGGTGGGGCGGGTGTGACAGGCAGTTTCTGAGCCAGGCCTGTCCTGACGACATGTGTGTATTAATGTTTCACATCAATCTTCAGTTGTCTGGCCTGAAAACTAAGCAGGAAGATTTCCTCTTGTTTGCACGAGCAAGCAGACTTGAAGATTGACAGTGCACTTGTAGGGTGCGGGGGACACTGGGCTGAGGTATCCCCATCTCACGAAGGAGGCTCGACCCTGAGTTCCTGACCCTGCCTGCATTCTGAGCAGCAAGTGACATTCCACGTTGGTCAGGTCTGGCAATGGGAGTTGTCCTCTAGGATACCCAGCCACTGTGTCTACAGTAATAGCCACAATTCTGCTTTGATTCCATGGGGGAGCACTGGCCCCGCAGGCTGCAGGGGCAGGAGCAACAGTGCCCCAGAGGCACACTGCGCCCAACCCGAGGTGCAGGTTTGCTTGTGATTTGGAGAGCAGCTGGCCGGGAGCGTAGGCTTCAGGTGTCTGTTTGCCCCGACTGGATTCAGAGGAGTTTGCTGCTGAGCCCTGAGCCCCAAAGTGATGTGAGATGAGTGGTCGCAAGAGGGTATGCTGCATCTGTCCTTGAGGAAGTCACACCTCCCCCAAGAGTGAGCTGTGTGCTCTTTGGCTCACCCAGGCCTCCCTGGTGTGGCCTGGAAGCCTCAGGCCAGTGCTCACCATGCTGTGCCTCTTCTCTTCCAGGGCTGGTACATTGTGACCTACGCCCTGGGGATCTACCACCTCAACCTCTTCATAGCGTTCCTCTCTCCCAAAGTGGACCCCTCGCTGATGGAAGACTCAGGTACCACCATGCATCCCTTGTGCAGATGAAGAAACTGAGGCACGTGGGCTCTGTGCCCAGGGTCCCACCGCAGATGATGGGATGAGTTGAACTGAGATGTGTGCATGAGCCTGCGTCTTGCCTGTCACAGGCAGACAGCCCATCCTGGTGGCACTCAGAGTGACCAGCCAGACTTGCTGCCCTACAACCAGAGGTTTGCACACACTGCCCCTGTGGTCAGCACAGGCTCCGAGTTCTGAGGAGTTGAGATGTGGCCGGTGTTTGTGTGCTGTGGGCCTCACCTGGGCCTGCCACTGACACAAGTGAGGAGTCACCCATCCCAGCCCTGCACCTGCTGATGAGCCCTCTGTTGTGGGTGGTGCTGTTTCTAAGCAGTTCACACTGGATGAGCAGAAGCCTGTGATTTTCTCTGTAGACCATTTAGTGAAAACACTAAAGGTCGCCCTCTGAGGGAGACTGGAAAATAACCATGGGACCCTTTTCTGTTGGCCTCAGTTTCTCTGTCTATAGCTGGGTGTGACCAGGTGAGCTGAGTTTCCAGTGTGTGCTGTGGGTGGGGACACGGCATTATGCTGTGTGAATGTAGTCATGCATCTTGGGTTTTTTTGGTACCGGACTCAAACTCAGGACCTTGGGCTTCCGAGGCAGGTGCAGTGCACTGAGCTACATCCCTGGCCCTTATCTTGTTTTCTTTTGGGCCTATGTGGAGCACAGTGGATGAAAGATCTGTGCACCTGAATTCTTTTCACACATTTAAAAGGTACAAGACTTTTAGAAAATCTTGTGAAGTGTTGATGTGGTTTGTGTGGTGAGGGACCTGAGGCCGTGTTCAGAAGCTCCAGGGACACAGGATGGTGAAGTGGAAGGGGCAAGTGTTGTCTCTCATTGATGCCTTGCCTTCCAGATGACGGCCCTTCGTTACCAACCAAACAGAATGAGGAATTCCGCCCCTTTATTCGAAGGCTTCCAGAGTTTAAGTTTTGGTGAGCTAATTCTTTCCTTTTTTAAACTTCCAAAAAAGTTTTCAGTTTTTATCTGACACCTAGTAATTGTGCATGTTTATGGGGCACAGTGTGACATTCCAGTACATGTGAACCGTGTGTTGCACGCATACCAGGCTCTGGCACGTCTTGTCACTGCAGTCATTTCTTTGTGCCGGGAATGTGCCTGTCCTCTGTCAGCAACCTCAGAATACACAGTGGACTGTCATCCACACAATCACCCGCCTGTGCTGCAGGACATCAGAAGTCACTACTCCCATGTGACTGCACCTTTCCTTTTAAAGGCATTTGCGGAAGGTACCTATGCTCAGGTACCTGTGTGGCCAAGGAGAACAGAACAGATTTAATTTTTGTTTTAGTCTTTGAGCAGATTAGACTTGTTAAAGCAGAGTTTTGTTATGCTGTTCTCCTGTGATGTCCATTTGCCCAGAGGACATGGGGCTGAGGTGGGGGTGGATTGCAGGGCTCTGAGAGAATGCACCTTAAGGCTTTCTTAGCTTCAGGTGAGCACCAGTGGTTGGGGTTTTGGGCAGGAGGGTGTCAGCCTCTTACACACAAAGGCCTCAGGAAGGTGGGTTCAGGCAGCACCGGTGGCCCAGCTTTCTGTCTGGGCCCTGGTGGAGGCCCCTGAGCAGAGGTGTGTGGGATCTGTGAAGGGCCCACCCTTGGGGGCTCGGGGGCTCTGGTCCTCCTGCAGACCAGGACACAGGGTGAGAATGGGGGACACAGCTCCTTGGTACTACTGTGGCCTCATGTCTGTCTCTGGGACACAGGAGGGACAGTCTTGGCAGAGGTCATAAACTGAGCAGACTGGCGTCTTGAGGTCTTCACACCATAGTGCAGTGTCTGCTGGGGATGCTGGACGGGGTCGGGCGCTTTGTTGTGTAGGGAACAGAGCTGTGGGGGTCCAGGGAGAGGGGGGAGCCTGACTGGAGGGTGGCGCTGGTGGCGTGGTATCTGGCTACTGGCTATAGGGCTCTGCTTTCTGAGAAGGGTCTGGGCTTCAGCATGGGTGTTTTGCAGTGTGGGCTGGAGAGGACTAGGAGAAGTGCAGCATTGTGGTAAACCAGAGCTCACGTGCAGAGAGCACACGCAGACCCCATGCTGTTCCCAGTCAGGGTGCGGCTCCTGCAGATGCTTTCTTGGGGGCAAACAGGAGCGGCTGGGTGCTGGAAGGGGGTTGGTAGGAGCCTAGTGCCAGCTACAGGCGGCAGCACTAACTTCTCCCTTGCTTTAAGGCATGCAGCTACAAAGGGCATCCTTGTGGCTATGGTCTGCACCTTCTTTGAGGCTTTCAACGTCCCGGTGTTCTGGCCGATCCTGGTGATGTACTTCATCATGCTTTTCTGTATCACAATGAAGAGGCAAATAAAGGTAAAGACTCAGCACTGCTGTGTGGCCAGGGTGACAGTTACTGCTCTGCTGGGGATGGGCAGTGGGGAGCAGGGCCTTGTGTGTGATGAGGACCAGGTGCTGTTTCCCGCCACGGCAGTGAGCGCACAGTGCGTGTCTACTTGGGGAGCCACTAGGCTCAGTGCAGCTGGCAGGAGCTGGGCAGAAGCGGCTTGGTGCTCTTCCTGGTTGAGCTCAGGGTTCACTGGGTCTGCTGAGGAGCAGGGATGTCCACTGAGATCTCCCCTTGGCCAGGACTGTGGAGCGCAGCTGCAAACCCTCCCTCGGGGGCCCAGCCTCAGCCTCTCTGGCCATTCCTGCCCAGTGCTTCTGGAGTGGCTGGATCCTAGGGCCCAGCACATCAGAGGGCTGCCGTGTTCATGGGGAGTTGGGAGCCTGTTGGCATTTTTTTCCTGTTTGTTTTGAGACTGGGTCTCACTGTGTAGTCCAGGCTGGCCTAGCTTCAGTTATCTCCTGTGTCAGCCTCCCAAGTACTTAGATTACAGGCAAGCACCATCTTACCCAGCTCAAACCTATTGGTATCCTGATGTCGGTTGTGTGACGTGTGGAAGAGATTGAGGCGGTGCCTTTGGCTGTTCACATTTAGGAAAAATGTGGTTGATCAGGATCTGTGTAGAAGTAACTGGACTTTGTTTGTTTGTTTCCCCAGCACATGATTAAATACCGGTACATACCATTCACACACGGGAAGAGGAGATACAAAGGGAAGGAGGACGTGGGCAAGACGTTTGCTAGTTAGAAGCTGGACTGAATCTCACGTATTCAAGACCGGTTTTGAGCCATTGTAACAATGCCTTTTTCTTCACATAAAGTAGTTGATTATGAGGGAGTTGAATTTTCTTTTTAAAAAGAAGCCTCAATGATTTGTAACTAAAAATATCAGGTTCTTGAAGAAACTGGCATTTAAACCAAATTGCATTGATTTCCTCTTCAGTGATGTTCACGTGTTCTCCAATGTTTGGAATCGTAGCAAATTGGGGGGCCGGGGGTGGTGGGGCCCAAGGGGAAGGCAGAGGGAGGGCGGGAGCCAGGCCACCTTCCTGCCACCCGAGGCCCCTCCTGATGGGGCACAAGGGGAAGGCAGAGGGAGGGCGGGAGCCAGGCCACCTTCCTGCCACCCGAGGCCCCTCCTGTGGGCTGGAAGGACAGAGCCAGCCTGGCCGTGTGGGAGAGCACGTGAGGCTGTGAAGGCGACCTCACGGCCTGAGGTTCTCATGCCATTTTCCCAACTTCATCTCACTGGAGATGTCTCTACCACGACTCGGAACTGTGTTCTTAACTACCCTGCTTCTGAGGGCTTGGAATTATATATGTTCTATTTTAATTGTTTGAGATTATTTTGACATATTTCTTTGATACCTAAAGTTTGCTTTTAATTAATTTAAATTTGTTCTCATGCAACAGCCCCTGTAAGGAAAGACCAGACCTGGTCAATGCAGACCAGACCTGCGGATTTATCTGGCTTTTCATTTTCTGTGGGGGGAAAACAATCTACTGCATGTCAGCTTTTTTGATGTGATAATCCTTTTACTAATTGACTTTTTAATTCCAACTTTATTAAAGACAATGTCCCCTTCCTTGTGTAGTCTTCGTCTCAAACACGAGTCAGTCCCCAAGCTCAGTGTCTTTGGCCTCCCTGGGAGGTGAACCATTTTGGCAGCACGACAGCGCCCCCCACAGGTGTGGACACCAAGACACGGCCTGGTGTCCCCTTCAGTCCCTGCTGGTTCAGATGCCCAGGTAGTTTTTGATGCTGAGTGTCAATTGTCTGTATTTTCTTTTGCTGAATTTTGTACATCAGGATTTGAGCTCCTTTGAGAGGCGATGTTCAAGCCATTTGGATATCTGCTGCACCATTTCACATGACCTTCTCAGTACTTGTTAGATGTGGGAGGATCTGGGATTCTCAAACTCTGGATGTCCTTGTTTGTTTCCCTGATTGGTGCTGAGGGTCTCAGCTTTGACAGGAAATGGTGTGAATCAAGGAGCAGCAAGAGATGGCTCTTAGGGCTGTGTCCCAGCTCTCTGTGGGACCTCCTTTCTGTGGGGACCGGGAGGCCTCTGCCACCCAAGCAGTTCTGGTACCACTCCAAGTGCATGCCCTTCCTGGCCCTGAGGCTTTTCGGTGGGGGAGTGACACAGCCCAGAGGCTCTGCAGTCTTCTGTTGAGTTAGCCTGTCAGAGGTCACGCTATCTATGGCATGTTAATTTTTAAAACCTGGAAATACTAAGCAAGGCAGGAAGCAGGCTAAAGACAGCTGAGAAGGTGCTGGCCATGGCACTGACCTCAGGTGAGCCAGCTGCCTGCCCACATGGCCCCAGGAGAGGCCCTGGCTCACCTGCCCACCCCAGTGTGTATGCAGTTTAAGTGTTGGGAAACAACTTCTAACCTGAGGGCTCTGCCTGCCCAGCTGAAGGAGGCCCCTCCCAGTTCTTGTTGAGGCCAAGACAACGCCCGTTTTCTTAAAGCAGGAAGCAGAGGACAAATACTGAAAAGTGTGTGCCAAACGTCTTGAGGTGCTGACCCTGGCTGGTGCGTGGGTTCAGCTGACACCGAGGCCTGGAGGTAGCTGTCTGGCCGGGGCACTTGGCCCTGCCTCTGCTCAGCGTGGTATGAGTGTCCAGCCTCCAGTGAATAAAGTTTTTCTGGCTAACTTCTGCAACTTGTGCTCAGCTCTGTGGCTTGGGGAAGTGGGTGTCCCGGGCTCCTGTCCCAACACAGTTCTGAAGGCCCTGGGACAGGGCCCTGCTGTCTTCTGTCATCTGGCAGAACCTGTGTGAGGCTTAGTTTCTGTGCATTTAGCTAATCCTGAAGACAAACTGCTTTCTCCAACCACTCCCTGAAGCCCACCTGGCATGGCTCAACGGTAGTGCCGCAAGTAGACGAGCTTCTGGGGAGCGAACTTCTCCCTGCACAGGGGACATTCCGTCTGTGGGGAGAGGGGTGCTCATGGGTAGCCTGCTGGCTGGCCCTGCACTGCCCCCCTGCCACCTTCCATTTGGGCCTTGCAGCACTGGGTAGCTTCCCACTACTCTGGACTTGGGAAGCAGCCTTTCCCAGAGGGTCTGAGTGTGTGGAATGGGGGCTCAGGTGCTGGGCCTGTGGCAGGGCTGGCTTGGGTCAGCTGCACCACCATTCAGGGGCCCTACCTCCATGCTGGATACCTAGCAGTTTCAGGCAGAGGACCTCCCAGTAGGGCTTCTGGCACCTGGGCCATGCCCTGTGTGCCCAGCAAGCCTGTGAGCAGCTGTGGGGTACCCTGGGCCTCATTGGTGGGATGAGAATCAGGCCAGAGCTGCTCTGAGCTCCTCCTAGCACCTTCTGCCAGGTCCTCCTCCAGGATGAACTCTGGTGCTGTCTGCTGGGCATGGGACTTCTCAGGTGCCCACAAAGAAGCACACTCTGTCCACACTCATGCCTCCACTGCCCCCTGCCCATCTATCAGTGCTTGTGGAAGGGTGAATGTGCTTGGGTGCCTGCCATCAGGTCAGCTGGAGCCCTGGCTCTTGGGTACAGCCATGTAGGACTGCCAGCATGTCCCCCTACAACCTGGGGCACCTGTCTTGTGGGGAAACCACATGTGCAAATAAATGCACTGGGCCTGCCAAGTATGGGGACTCATGCACCCACCACGGGCTGATAGCCGTTGCTCCCAGCCAGGCCTTGGCCAGTGAGGAGCGGGAGCAGCCCAACGCCTGGCTCCCCCGAACATCCCAGGCACAACTTGGGGTCCCTGCCCAGGCCCACCTTGGTGTCACACCACTCTGTGATGCACTCCCAGCAGAAGAGGTGGCCACAAGGTGTGGCCGTCGAGTGCCTTCGCTCCTCTAGGCACAGGGTGCACAGTGGGGCTCTGGGCATGGCTCGGTCTTCCAGGGAGACCCTGGGGAGGGCGGGGATATAGGTGAGGATGCTGCCCACCAGGCTGACCAGTGTGGAGGGTGTCCCAGACCCTGCGCACCTGCGATGAGATAGGTTGCGGTGCAGCCGCCACTCCTTGCGGGCTCTCTGCCTCTGCCGGAAGCTGTACAACTGCAGTGCCATGGAGAGCGCCAGGTGCAGCAGGGACACCAGCCCCAGCAGCCGGTAGCCTGCGCGTGCCTTCAGGTCCTCTCCGCGCAGGTGGTGGATGCAGAGCTGTGGAAGCAGGTGGCCAGCAGCTGAGGACCCCAAGGGGACCTGGCCTCCCATTCTGTCGGGACTGGGAACATCTGAAGGACAAGGCTAGGCGGGGGATGGGTTTGGGGAGCCGATGGGGACCTCTGGGTGTCACTGGCACAGACCTGAGCCATGAGCCTAGGTGGGCCAGGGGAATAGGTGAGGATGCAAGGTTATCTAGGTCCCACCTCAGAATACAGTGCAGAGCAGTGGGAAGAGCACTGGGGGGTGTGGGAGTGCAGGGATGTGTGCCAACAGCCCAGCTGCAGGACAGAATGCTCCCCTCTTAGGAGGGCACGTGGCCCACTGGTCCAAGTCTCTCCCACACTGGCAGCCTGAATAACTTGTCCTTTACTTCCCATGTTCCCACTGGTCCCTGGAGAGGACTCCGTGCCTGCCCCAACTCCTGTGACAGGGAGGATAGTGTCGATTCCCCCCAAAATCTGGGCATACCCAGGGCCGATGCCTGACATGGCTCCATGATGGGGGTGGCCTGCTTGTTGAGGAGGGGGACGTTTGGGGAGGGCAGGACAGTGCTGTAGGGGCAGAAGGGCAGGCCCTTCTGATAGAAGCCACATGGTAAGGTGGGTGGGGGGGACCAGACTCTGGGTGAGCTGGGAAGCAAGGAGTTGGATGGGAAGCAATGGGCGCTGTTTGAGAAGGAAGGTGGCTAGGACAGCATGAACAGGGAGATCTGGCAGGGGTGCTGACCAGTGGCAAGGAGGCCACAGTCAACGTGGTTAGAAGTACCCTGGCTGAAAATCCTGCTTCTCAGTGGGGCTGCTGGATGGTGGTGGGGAACAGAGGGGTCAGGAGCCAGCTGGAGTCCACGCTTATCTTGGCAACCCTGGGGCCATCTGCTTGTAGACCAAGGCCTGAGCCTGCAGATGGTGGAGCTGGCCCAAGACCCCCTTGGTCAGTGAGCCCAACTCACGCCCTGGCTGCCCCATGCATGCTGGCTGCAGGAGGGAGGAGTTACTCTACCCTTGGCCCTCATGGGCTCTGCCAGACCTGGGTCTTCAACAAAATGAACCTGGGCAGGACCTGCTGTTTTCCAGGTAGTGGGTTTTGGTTCCAGCCTCAAAACAGAATACTTGGCTGTGACTGTGCTGCAGCATGGCCCTGAGGAGCCAAGGTGCCCAGAGGGATGCAGACTAGGCAGCAGTGGTAGGGTGGCCAGAGCAGCCTCTTGGCACAGCTACTTACGTAAGTGATCCCTGAGAGCCTCTTAGCCAGGTGATAGAAGACACCATGGATGTAGAACCAGGCAACATGGAGCCGGTGAAGGCAGGCGAGGCCCTGCCTGAGGATGAAGGTTGCCTGCTGCAATGTCTTCCTCTGCTGCTCGGTCAGGGAGGCTGCATGGCGAAGTACCCAGCGCCGTGCCCCTGACCAGCCCCGCCCACCGGGCACCAGGCTGCTCTGCAAGGCCCGGGCTCCATCACTGTCAGCCTGCAGCTCCTGTTCCAGTGGCAGCAGGGCCTTGTCCAGCAGGTAGGGCAGGACTGTGTGGAGTGTGACCAGCATGCTGCGGCGGAGCCTGGAGGGCACATGCTGCTGGGATGGGTCCACTTGGACGATGCCCACATACTCCTCCCCGAGCGTCTGGTACCCTAGGAGGATGAGGATGGGTGTGCCAGCTGAGGGCCTGACTTGGGGATGGATTTCCTGGGCCAGCCTGCCTCTCTCAGCCTCTGTTCCAAGTGCTAGTCCCATCTGTCACTCTGGCCCAGGCCAACATGCCCACCATGGGCTCGCTGTGACCTCAGGCAGGGTCACACAGCCTACCACTCCAGCTGCCCTCAGTTCCCAGTATCTGACCTGTGCTTCCCCACCCTTAGATCCTGCCCCTCTTCAGAATCTGTGCTTCTCTTCCTCTTTCTCTTTTCCTGTACCTCCTCCACCTAGCCCCTGCTCAAGCCCCTGGATCAGTCTCATGGCTCCCCACTTCCCACATGCACCGTGCAACCACAATTTATGGCCATGGTGGACCAGGTCTGTTCCCAAGGGCAGGTTTCCAGCTCAGCTGCCTACCAGGTACTGCCGTAGGGATTCAGACAAATACCTGGAAACTCACCCCTGTTGAGAGCGAGGTTCCAGGCCCCATGCCCAACCCCAGAAAGCCAGCTTTCCTGCTTCCTGTCCCTGATGAAGGTGATGCTGACCTCCTTGTTCCTGACTCTTCCCCAGGTGTCTCACCACAATCTGTAGCAGACCATGACAGCCACCTTTGCCTGCATCCACCTCTCCCACTGTGGTCTGGCCACAGCTTGCCACTGGCCTCACCCCTGCCCATGTCCTCACGATACTGCATGCCTTACAAGGAAAACCAAAGGCTGACAAGGCCCACAAATCCCTTGGGTCCTCACAGCTTGCTGAGGGGCCTCCCTCTCAGAGGTTTAGCTCTAGTTGCTTGCTCTGTCTGGAAAATGCTCCCCAACACCCTGGCCCAGACCTGGCCTTTGTCTCTAAAGTGCTCATTACCTCCCAGGTTGCACCGCAACACAGGCACCTGGTGCTCATCCTCTGCTTCCCATTGGCCAGTGCTCTTCAGTGGGATGACCCCTCCAGAAATCCCTTCTACAGGTCTGAAGGAACTGAGTGGGTGTTCACAGATCTTTGCTGGGTGCAGGGCTGGAATCGCAATCCTGAGGCCCTCCCCGTTAGCTTTATCCTAAGGGACAACCATCAACCTTGGCCCCTCACTGTCCCAGCAGGGAATCACTGTTAGCATATTACCCTCAAAAGGGGTGAGCACTGTGATATGCATGTGCCACCAAGGCCACCTCAAGAGAAATGGGTTTTAAAGTTAGGTACCCTTGACACACAAATCCCTAGGTCTCCAGGGACACAAAAAAGGATGAAAGGAGAGGCCCTGGGCTGGGAAATGCTCTAAGCAGTGTCTCTGTGCAGCTGCTCCTCCTCTGGCCACATGCACCCTTCCTCCCGAGGCCACAGGTGCTGGTTCCAGGAGCTCTTTACTCTGCCTGGCAGCCCCAGCCCCGGCCTCTGACTAGGATGGTCTGTGGGTCCCTCAAGGGTCTGCCAGGGACTACCTGCCAGGGTGGTGAGGCCAAAGTAGGCTATGTCTGAGAGCAGTTCAATCTCTCTCCTCCACTCCAGCCATTTCTTGGCACCTGAGAGGAGAAACAGATATTACTTCTAGGAGGGGGTGGGGGTCACCTAAAGATTATGGACAACCATCTTCCCACAAGTTCAAGGCCCCCTTCCATGAGGTGCAGACAGCTGTCAACCACTTGTCTCCCAGGCTCCCCTGCAGTCCACTCAGCAGGCTCCGCCTTATCTGCCTTTCCACCTGCCTGTGCCACTGACTGACTCCTGAGAGAGGACCATGATATTGATTATGCCCAAGGTGGGCTGTGAAGAGTCAACCCAACTGGCTTGTTTATAGAAGTGAGTCTGGCTGAAGCCTAAATACCGAAGTCAGAGTAACTCGTACCCAAATTCTGTTCTCACAACTAAAACTTTCAGACTAGAAGGACAACGTTCTCATTACAACCATATATTTTGTCCTGTTCCTAATTCGAAAATGCTTTGTCTCCTCTTTTTTGACTCTTGTTTACATTAATTTTTATAGAAACCATACCCCAACTGATTGCCAATAAAAGTCAGGCACTGTCCAGCGCCTTGGTTGGTTGCACTAGCATTGATCGTCCTGGCTCCCCGTTTTCTCTCCTAGTTCTGTCTCTTACTATATTTATTTTTTTCTCAGGCCTGCGTTGGAACTGGGCAGGTGGGTACTAGAACCTGACTGCAGGGGTCTCTGGCACTGGGATCCTCCTGGCCACTGTTGTGGAGCTTACAAGCCACAGATACTACACTTGATCTAAGCCAAAAGGCCGAGAAGCAATAGAACCTACAAGCCACAGGAAAAACAGGGTGGGCTGGAGACCACCTGTCTAGCATCAAATCTGCTGTACAATTCTCTGGCTGTGGGACCTCGCTGGACTTTCCACTTGCATACCTGTGAGAGAAGTGATTCCAACACGTCCCACTGTAAAGCCTGTCAGGGATTATACAAACACATGCTCGACAGCCCCGAGAACAGAGCCTGGCAGAGAGTGAGTGCAAAGTGTTTGCGAAACCCAGTATGCAAAGACGTCTGACCTGACCGTCTCTCCTAACTGCCTCCAGCCCAGCCCCCGCGGCCTCCAGACGCCCGAGCCAGACGAGGGCCACACCGTGGCGGAGCCGGCG